GGATGTGGCTCTTAAAAGAGCCTTTGGGGTGTATGTAGATGCTGTTGACAAGCAAATGAGAGAAAAGACCAAATATGAAATAAAATAATGTCTGTATAAATTCAAATGTGTTTAACTCCATCAGTGATTAATGATTAATTAAACATGTTATGATCAAACTGGCAAATCAGATATGTAGAATATGCACAGCTGCACTTCCTGAACTTCAGTCAGCTCTTTTGTTTCCTGTCTGCCATTATTGAACAAACTGATTAATCCAGGTGTGTCTGTACAATAATGGCAGACAGGAAACAAAGGAGCTGGCTGAAGTTCAGGAAGTAGTGCAGCTGTGCATAAAGCCAATTCCATTCTATTTATTTATCTGTAAAGAATTATCCTTTTAATGTCTTCATTAAGTTAACTTGCCACATTAAGTTGCTTTAATTGATCTATTAATCAATTAGCATGTTATGATGAATCTGGCAAATCAGAGATGTAGGTTGACTTCTAATACTTACAACAATAAGATGGCAATCAACACTGAGAAAAAAAGAGAGAGAAGAGAATAATTATTTTCATGGTATACATTTTCAAAGTTTATAAAGGCTCTGATGAATAGATAATGCATTTTCATTCTTGAGAATAATAGAGTGTGAGTGTGAGAGGGAGCTCACGCGCTCGCAGTCAAATCAGTGACAACACAATAATTCCATACAAATTAAAGATATTATGAAGCATAATTTTGTCTTATCATATCTTATTAATTTATGAAGCGTAGAATTTATCTCTTTTTAAGGAATGTTATCATGACAGATAACTTAGTCTTAAACGAAAGAGTGTCTCTCAAACAGAGCGCATTGGCTCCATAAGCAATGACGTCACACCGATGTAACGACATTTAACGGTGTTGATCGGCACAGATGAGCGGACTTTATATCGATGCATATCAGATGATGTCACCAACGTCTCCTCACTGACGTCACTCACTTCTAAAACTTGTCTGCCGCCATCTTGAGTACCTGATTTGGATATTGCAGTAAATTATAGTAAGTTGAAGGCATAATAAAAGCAGAAATGAAAAAGAAGGAGGAGTGGTATATGGAAACAAAGGCGAGAATGTTCTACAATGTCCAGTAGAAGGTAGGAGGAATGAGAGAAAATAAAATAGATAAAAAGGAAGAGGACATTATTTCGAGAATGATATTTAGGCATACTGGATTAAATGAATTAAAAAAATAAATTAAACTTAAAATAATAGGAAAACATGAAACTGGGTTGTGTGAGCGATGTAAGAGAAATGAAACATTTGAACATGTAGGCCTAATTATTCATTTTTGTAGGTATAAGCAGGAAAGAATGATTCTGAAAGTTAGGCTAAGTAAAGACAAAAATCGAGTTGAAATGAAGGAAATATTACAACTGAGTTCAGGGCATGTAGGCATAGAGCAATATTTATTTAATTTTTTTAATTAAAAAATATTTATTTAAAAAAAAGGGATAATTAGAAGGTTAAAAGTTTATTTTGTTATTAAAATTGTATTGCTAATGGTGTGAATGATAATGTATCAATATTAATAATTTTATTAGATTTTATGCATTTATTTAGTTAATTAGTGGTAAGTAAAGTAGGCTATTTTGATCCACACTCCATTTCAGAAGGTGGCGGTAATGCGCATTAAAAGTTGTTTGCTAAGAGCCATTAAAAAAATACAAAGAAGAGTTAGAACCGTTACCTGATTCACGTCAGTCGCAAAGGAACAAGCTAGTTAACGTTATGCCTACAAAATGCTGTGTGGTGGGGTGCAACAACAAAAGAGACCCGAAAATATCCTTTTACAGGCTACCTCAGGACGAAAAAGGTGCCATCAGTGGCTTGCAGCCATCAAGAGGGCAGACTGGACACCAACTGCAAACACTCGTCTATGGTGAGTGGATGCAAATATAGCCTAATATTGTAAACGAGCTAACGCTAACTTGCTCGCTGTCGCGAAGAGATGGTTTAGCTACACCTTGTTGACCTTGCCTTGAGATAGCATTGAGTTGTTAGGCTAGCTGCTGTTTAAAAGTTGGTTTAAAAGAACACTTAACGTTACCTTTCGGTGGGCGTGATCTAGCAAGTCTGACGGGAGAGATGATCGGGAGACAGGTGTAAGTTAACGTTAGCGTAAGTGGGTCAAGTGTTAATTACAAACACCTGTTTGTTTTTTTAGTGATAGCGTATGGAAATACCGCATATTAATTGACAGGGAAACTACATTCAAGGATAGAGAGACACTGATTTTGAGCGAAGGGAGCCCGAGGACGTGATTGCTGTCAGAATTTGAACTTTGTTGTGTGCGACTTTTGTTGTTTCTTTTCGCGAAGAAACGTTGTTTGTGTGAGATGTGGTACATTTACTGTAAAAGTCAAAATTTTATAATAATTTAATGAGTTTCATGAGAGAAAACTGCTGTTATTTTTGTGGAGAAAAACGAACTCTTCCCTCAGACCGTTTGCTATTATAATTAACGTTATTATAATTAAATGTCTTTACTTTCTTTCTTCATAGTTTTAAATGTCATTTACTTTTGTTGTCAGACCATACTTTAAAGAAGTAATATAACTAAATTGGTTAACTAAAAAGTACTTTACCTCAGGAAAACGCACTGCTGGGATGTCACTCAAAGGGTAGACAGGTTGTGCGCGCGGTGGGCACAGACACTAGCTTATAGACCAGCGCTGCCCGGTTTCGCGGGCTTGGCACGAGATTAATAATTTATTATTATTATTTTTTTCTTTATTTTTCAAAAATGTATGTACTTTTATATAATGACAGGCCGTTACCTTGGCATTAAACGTCTAAAAAAATGGGATTTGTTAAATACTGCAGTATTTTTGTTTTACTATACTTTATTCAAAGCAATGGTGTCACCAAAATATAAGTTGTTTTCTTTTCTTCTTTTTCCTTTAGGTTTGAGAGTCCCATATAATTTAGCAACCAGGTGCACGTGAGCGATGGTTGAGAGGTAAGCGTTGATTTCAAGTTCTTGTGTGGTCTTCTTGAGCTAGCTTCTTGAGGCTGTATTTAGACCAACAACATTGAGAGACAGAATAAAAACACAGAAAATATATTTGTTAATTATTTATTTAACCCTTGTGCCTCATTTAAAAAAGTTATAAAGTTAATGAACATTTATTTATGAACATTATTTTATATATATAAATAAAATATATATATATAAATATATATATTTATATATATAAAATATATATTTCATAAAACAAGTATAACTCTAAAATGGCTAGATAATCTAAGAAAGCCGTAAATATAAGTTGTGTTCCAAATGTGAGGTTGATATCTCAAAAAATACCGTCTTTCAGTAAGATTTTGTTTGGGCGCAGTAACAGGCTTTCCCTATTGGTTACCAGCAAAGCTCCACTGGTGCACACAGTGATTGGATTTTAGATTTGCAGTTGAGTTTTTCCTCTCTCAATATTACAGGCACACAAACGCACACACTTTTTTTTATTACAAACGAACTTGGCGTATAAATGTCGTACAAATATTGTTGCAGGGCTGCCAATTCTCACGCATCCAGCGTTCGAACCGGAAAACGGGTCTAAGCATTTCCGGTTTTTCACTTCCATACATATATGTTGCTGTTTCAAAGAACGTATATTTAATAATAATAATAATAGGCCTGGGTATCGTAACAAAATGTTCAATACCGATACCTTAACTTCGATACCGGTTCCTGAATGATAGTTTTTTCGACACCATTTTTATGTAATTAGTTTTAACAATATAATATTACCTACATTTTTTTTTTTTTTTCCAGTTTGTTGACTTTCACACTCATATTTTGAGTATGTAAAAAAGCACCAATGCTAAAGTTTTCTACAGTATGTATCCTAATCATTTAACAACATGTATTCTTTACTTCAATGAGCTCATTGTTTCTGCCTTATCTTAATGCATTGTTTATCAATGAAACTGAATGAAAATTAATTGAAATGCATTGCATTGTCACCTCTGATAACAGATCACACTAAATTGTAATTTAGAAACATGCACTTTCTGTAAAGCTGCTTTGAAACAATATGTACGATTTATACAAATAAATGTAAATTTCAATTATAGGCTACTTATATAGGCTACTGTGTGTCGTCTGCATAGCTATGGTAAGCGATTTGGTTCTTTCTCATTATTTTGCTCATTGGGAGCATATACAGGTTGAATAGGAGTGGCGCAAGAATCGAGCCCTGAGGGACTCCGCAGTTCATGGATGTCCACTCAGACTTATGTTCTCCTATACTCACAAAATAACCTCTCCCTTCTAAGTATGACATGAACCATTTTAGGACTATTCCAGAAAGCCCCACCCAGTTTTCCAGCCTGTCAAGAAGTATGTCATGATCGACAGTGTCAAATGCAGCACTGAGGTCGAGTAGTACCAACACGGATAATTTGCCTGTATCAGTATTTAAGCGAATATCGTTTATTATCTTTATGAGCGCTGTCTCCGTGCTGTGATGCGATCGGTAGAAGGACATATATCACAAACTCCGACTCTTTCTTGACCCGCTAAATTATTAAAACGTATTCTCATCTATCTAGTGCAGAAGTACAGTCAAAAGCTGCATCTGTAACGGCATGAGAGGATAATGTGTGTCAGTAAATTTCCCGCTGACATATTGAAATACAGAGTCGGATACAAAAACAATTAGGAAGATCTTTTTTACCTCATTATACAGGTAAATAACCTGATTTAGCCTATTAATAAACACTCCACCTTTGCAAGCAAAATAGAAAAAGAATATCATAAATAAGATAAAGTAATAAAAAAGAAAGTTAATAATCAAAAAAGTAAGCCCCACCTCACAGGCTGATGATAGGATGATATGAAAATGGAGCATATCGCCCAACACAATTACACTGTACATCAGCAGCTGATGGCCGGAAGTAGTTATACCTGTTTTTTACAACCTTGAACAATGTTGTGCATAACCCCTATTGACCCAATTCTCACTCTCTCACGCCACACCCCCGATTTCTCATGTTGATGGGTCAACCTGGTCGGTTGAATACCTGAAAGATGAGTTTATCTATAGATCTACCTGTTGAGCCACTCGTGATCGACTAGTTTTACCGCAAATTAGTTAAAATATCCTGTAATCTAGTGTGCATGCGGAACTTTGTGGAACAGTATGCGCGTGTAAATGTTTTCGACGCATAAGTTACTCGTCTCATCCTGATGTCATGTGTCTTTCCGGGATCTTTCCGGGTTGTGTGTCAACGCACTCACAGATCCCGGCAAATCACTGGCAGTGTGAATGAACTGAAATCAAACTATCCCGGGACAAATACCGGGTCACATTATCAGTGTATTTTCCGGAATCTGTGAAAGGGGCTCAAGTAATCTTGGAGAAATTCTGAGAAATATGCTTTTTATTGTACTTCTATTTCAACACTACCTAAATATTGATCCGTTCTCTGATATAGGATGAAAGTAAACAGAGTATTAAGAAAATTCATTATTTACAAAATGTGAACAATCATATGAGTAGTTTAAGATTAACTTAGTTCAATTTTACTACATGCTTGAAATAATCCATAAGATCAAACAAAGTTATTTTTGACATTTTGTGAATTGTCACTTTTAAGTCATCAATAACAATAATAAAATCAAGAATTTAGTAGTTTAAAAGCACCCAAAAACTCATGTTTGCCCTGTTGTGTAAAGTAGCTTGCCTTAATTTTACCTGAAGATTAGTTCATGAAAAAAATGGTTTATCATTTTAATGTATAAGTCTGTAAACATCATACCTGTTTTTCCATCTTCTTTTCTAGTGAGATGTCCATTAGGAAACCATCATTCTCTTCAATGGCTCCACAAAATTTATACAGTAACTCTTCTGTGGTGCGCGAGGAGAGGATCTGCAAGTAATGATGGCAGGCCAATTCTGACTGTGACGTCATCTTTGTTTCAACTGTTCCTGCAAAGGCGACCTGTTACACAGTATCTGGGTCTGTTTTTTTAACTGAACAAGGCATCGATTTCGTCCATTTTTCGATGGACTGGAAAGAATTGGAAATCTTTTTTTCTTCAACATCTTCCTGAACTGAAGTGAATTGTGTTTCATAACAAGAACAGAAGTTGAATGGAATTTAAGTACCCCATATTATAACTGTATTATTTTCATTAATTGTACAGCATCATTTTTGTGTATTGCTTCTCTGTCTAACAGTAAAGTGCTGACTTTTTTATTTATTTAATTTTTTTGTATTTTAAAAGTAAAACTCCATGGACGCTTCTCAATATCCCTCCTCGTCTCCTCGCTCCTCCCTCCTATGACCCGTAAACCGATCGAGCTCAGCCATCTTTAAGGACATCTCAATTCTCTAATTCCACCGTGAGGAGTCGAGGATCGAGGAGTGAGGAGACTTCCAGAGGAGGCATGAGTGAGGATACACAGGTGTATCCTATGCGGAGCTGTTTTATTGACTAAACGTGACGCTCGTGTCAATTCTGCTCCCCTTCACATCGATCACAATCATTTTAATTTATAATTTACCTTTGAAGTTTATATAAACCACACATCTCAGATATTTAAACAGTGTAGCCTTTCTTTATTAATATTCATTATGAATTTATTAAAAAACCAAACTTCAACAACATAAGGGCAGATCCGGCCAGTGATCAAGTATTCCAATGTAAAAAACACTCTTTATAACTTCCTTCAACTGTAAGTTTCGAGCATAGCAGGCTTGTGGGCACTTTCTGAAAAAAAAGGCATCCCATGTAATTTTATTCTAGAAGGACATTTATATAATATTGTTTTATGTACAGTCTTACAATTGGTTCCACTTGTGTTACAGTTATCAGGTGATGGATTCAACACTGTAAAATGATCAAGTAAATAAATAGTGATTAAGCACATTGTGATTCTGTGCATGAGGATAAACCTTTCTGAAGGTGATATGTTTTTAACATATACTTGTAAATTCTGTTTGAAAATAAAAGTGGTAAAGGAGCACTTGGTCTGTACCATGATGACAGATGAACAAAGTGACTTTTTTGTCAGACATGTCACTTCTTTCATCTGCTCGCATCTGATTGGTCCAATTTCAGTTTGCAATCTCTAACTCAGAACATAACCTGCCCTGGAGCAGGCATGGCAATGAACCCAGCTAACCAAGCCACTTTAATGGTCCAGGATTGGTGCAAACTAAACTTAAACTTACCTGGCTAGCCAGCTAAACCGGCTTCATGGTATAGACCCCCTGATTCAACTCCTGATTTAAATAACTGGCAATTTGCTAAAAACTGATCACAATGTTGGGGAACTCCAAGGAAAATGTTCAGGCAACATTAAAACATTGTGCATGACCATCCTTTATGTCTTACACTATTTAAAAAAAAAAAAAAAAACCAGTAAACACTACATTTTTGTCAATGTCAAATGTAATAACTTAATTTTGAAATCTGCTAAATAAAAAAAGGTTTTGAAAGCGATCTTTGCAATAATCTGTTTACTTAATTATAGTTCTTGTTTTCAAAACAAAACAGGCTGCACAAATATTTAATTTAATAAAAAAAGACTGCCAATCAATGAGCACTGATAATGGACATGTAATTAAGCATTTGATCACTGCTGAATAGAACCTAAAAAAAAAACCCTACAGGGAACATTCCCAGAACGTTCTCCTTAGGTTATAAAATTAAACCTAAAAATAACCTACAGGGAACATTCCCAGAACGTTCCGTTTAGGTTATAAAAATAGAACCTAAAAATAACCTACAGGGAACTTTCTGGGAATGTTCTCCTTAGGTTATAAAATTAAACCTAAAAATAACCTACAGGGAACATTCTGGGAACGTTCCGTTTAGGTTATAAAAATAGAACCTAAAAATAACCTACAGGGAACATTCCCAGAACGTTCTCCATAGGTTATAAAATTACACCTAAAAATAACCTACAGGGAACGTTCTGGGAACGTTCAGTTTAGGTTATAAAAATAGAACCTAAAAATAACCCACAGGGAACATTCCCAGAACGTTCTCCATAGGTTATAAAATTACACCTAAAAATAACCTACAGGGAACGTTCTGGGAACGTTCCGTTTAGGTTATAAAAATAGAACCTAAAAATTACATACAGGGAACGTTCCTAGAACGTTCTTGTTTGGTTCCCCAAAAAATAACCAAATGGGAACCATACGGGAACGTTAGGGGAACGTTCTGTGTTTGCTGGGTTAATCTTAACTGTTTATTGAACTGTTGTATGAAATCAATGTCACTTTTTCAATCGTGATGGTATTCAGGAAAAATAATTGAGGCTGCTTAGTGCTTAACATATGTTAAAATATAAAAACTCCACATTTAGATTTTTTATAGGCAGAGTATGTTGTTAACTGTGTGTGTGTGTGCTCCGCTCATGTGTGTAGATTTCTCTGCGCGAGCGTGGAGCGTCAACAGCGCAACCTTACCATCAGTAATACAGTAGGCCTGCTACATTTATTATCCACAATCGATCGCAACTTGCAATAAATGTAATAAAATCAGAATCATTCTCTCGGTTTAGAGATTCCCTAGTTATTTTTAGGGCCCAAGCCCTGAAAGGGCGAAGGCCCTATTGTTTTCCTTAGGATTATTATTATTAGGGCCCAAGCCCTGAAAGGGCGAAGGCCCTATTGTTTTCCTTAGGATTATTATTATTATTATTATTATTATTATTATTATTTATACGACTATTCGGGCACTTTTGGGGCCCTTAACATGCTCAAAAACTCTTGAAACTTAGCACACGGGTCAGAACCCGCGGCCATCAGGGCCGGGCTGAAGATGGTACCCGGGCGTGGCAGGGGGGCTAGACAGCGCCCCCTGGAACGGGGTCCGAAAACTTGGTCCATAAATCAAACACGCTTGCATGTAATAATATGAAACTCGGTGCACATATAGATCTCATCGTTCATATATACCTCAAACTATTACTTTTTACCCCAGCCCAACAGGAAGTCGGTTATTTAGGGTTGTTCATAAAACACTCGCAATGGAATTTGAAGTACTACTCCTAGAGAATTCAAACTCACGGCACGAAACTCGGTCAGCATGAAGTCAAGGCATTGACGATGAAAGTTTGCGAGGGGATTTTTGATATCTCGAACGGTTTGGCCATGGCGAGGAAACGAAATTATGGCGAGAAACGTGAAACAGGAAGTGTGTTATAACTTCAGCATACATTAACTGATCTTGATGAAACTTCAGCAGTATGTTCGCTGTAAGAGGACGATCACATGGATGTGACTATTGTGAGTCAGAGTTATAGCGCCACCAACTGGCAGCAGGAAGTGTGTCACTTTCAAAATGCTTTGAACTCACCCTTTTATTTTTACCCGATGTGCTTCAAACTTAATCTGTATAATGTAAATACATAGCAGATGAAGACCTGTGAATGGATTCTTGATATCTTTGATACTGTTGCCGTGGCAACGCATCAAACTTTAAAATTCTTTTTTTTTATGATTTTGAGACTCTTAGCGGCTTTTGGGGCCCTTAACGGGTTTGAAAACTCTTGAAACTTTGCACACAGGTCAGATCCCACAGCCATCAGAGCCGGGCTGAAGATGGTACCTGGGTGTGGCAGGGGGGCTAGACAGCGCCCCCTGGAACGGGGTCCGAACACTTGGTCCATAAATCAAACACGCTTGCATGTAATAATATGAAACTCGGTACACATGTTGATCTCATCGTTTCATCTATACCTCACGCTCTTACTTTTTACCCCAGCCAAACAGGAAGTCGGCTATTGAGGTTTGTTTGTAAAACGCTCGCAATGGAATGTGCAATACTCCTCCTAGAAAATTCAAACACACGGCACGAAACTCGGTCAGCATGAAGTCAAGGCATTGAGGATGAAAGTTTGCGAGGGGATTTTTGATATCTCGAACGGTTTGGCCGTGGCGAGGAAACAAAATTATGGCGAGAAACGTGAAACAGGAAGTGTGTTATAACTTCAGCATACATTAACTGATCTTGATGAAACTTCAGCAGTGTGTTCACTGTAAGAGGCTGATTACATGGATGTGACTATTGTGAGTCAAAGTTATAGCGCCACCAACTGGCAGCAGGAAGTGTGTCACTTTCAAAATGCTTTGATATCACCCTCTTATTTTTAACCGATTTGCTTCAAACTTCATCTGTATAATGTAAAAATACAGCAGATGTAGACCTGTGAATGGATTCTTGATATCTTTGATACTGTTGCTGTGGCAACAAATCAAACTTTAACATTCTTTTTTGATACTTTTGGGACTCTTAGCATGCTTGAAATTGCTTGAAACAGATAGATACAGATAGCTCGACAGATACATCACATTTATTAGCCAGTAGGCATGTGCAACTTTGGCAAAAGATTAAAGTAATGTCAAAAAAGTAAACAGTAAACACTAAAAGCCTCATATCTTCTAAAAATGTAATTATACATCATTTGTTTCTAAATTAAATTATACAAATATTATAATTAAACCAGTTTTTCCCTTTTTTCATTTAAGAATTATGTTTACGTTCAAAAACAGCCAGAATGGTTTTAAAATTCAGAAGAAGAAAAAATAATCTGAGTCATACGTAGTGCTATACTGCCCTCTTGTGTTCAATATCAGGTAGGCCTATTGTGTATATTCCCACCGGTTAATCAACGTGTGACTCCGCTGGGACTCGGGAACTTTTAAATCGCTTACTTAAAACCGAAAGTCAAAATACAGATATCCGCACAAGACATTAATGTTGTGGAGTAGAGCAAGCATTTTAAATAAATTCCTATTAAGTAACTAAACAGAATGAACGTTCACTCTGTTCTGCTGGTTCCTCGCTGTTGGCGCGCACAGTTATGAATGCTTGTGCAGCCATGAGTTTTAGTTTAATTTTAAAATTAGCGCAATTTCGGGATTTGTATTATTTGAATTTATTTTTAAAAAACACAATGTTGAGTTTTATTGTAACACTGTTTAATCGCGCCCACGGTTATATTTTGTATATTATATATAATTATAATGTATTTCTGTATAAAATAATACTACAATAAAAAACACATTTGTGACCGACCTGATCCAGCAAAATTAGTCACAGTGACCCAAATTTAAAAATTGAGATTTTGATATTAATGGAAAGAGGACACTGTAAGCTTTCAAATGATACCTTGGTCATATGGTTGTAACGATATACAGATTTGAATTCTGGTCGTCTGCCCTTTTTTTTCCAATTGAAAACCTAAGAAAATCGCTTTTAAAGTTTTTTTGCCCGTTTTTTTTTTTTTTTTTTTTTTTGATATCTTT